CCAGGGGCAGCTGAAGCAAGACTGGGCTCTTTTTGGTAAATAAGATCTAGAACCTGCTAGTCCAGAGATTTCTAGAGTGTGGATATTTTCGGAGATCTGATATCCCTAAGAGTCTGAGCCTTAATTTCCACCCACACAGAATAGGAAAGATGGAATCTCTTTCACATCTGTATCTATTGAGCTGTTCTATTACTCTATGTTCTTTTCTTAGATTGGGTAAGATGTCAACTGAATTTTGATATTATACACTTTAAGCTAGTTTTTGATGTTGAATAGTAAAAGCTGCTGCACGTGAGGCAAAAAAATACCAGGATGCTGTCAGTTTGTCTTCATATTAACATTCCCTATAAAATGTTTGTCAGTGTAACAAATGTAATACAAAAATGTTGCCATTTAAAAATCTTTCTTTATTATGATAGAAAATTCAAAGGTTGATATTTAATGAAAAATATCATAATCCAGTGGTATCTAATCTATAATCCAAAACAGAAACTCCTGTTAGAACCCTTTTGTAAAATTATTTTAACATAGAAGTAAAACCCACATAGACTAGATTCTCGTGGAAGACCTACCCAATACAGTTTTGACCCCAAGGAATTATTAGCAGATGTGGTTTTTAGACTTCTTTCTCAAGGCTGTCTTTTGTTTTCCTTTGCAGGCTTACTTTGCTGATGAAAACAAGGTAAGGAGATACTTTTTTGTACTACCAAATTCATAAAATAAATAATTGATAAAATAGTTGATAAAATGGGATAATGAAATTAAAAAGTGCTTTCTGCTTTGTTTTATTTTCTCTCATATGTAATGTATTCAAAAAGCAACATGATCGGGAGCCTGTTTTTTCAGAAGAACTGGGACTTGCAATAGAGAAGCTAAAGGATGGATTCACACTCCAGGGACTCTGGGAAGTAATGACCTGATTCAGATTGGTACATGTTTGTTTCCTAAGCAGGGAAAAACTCTTCGTTCTTGCTGGATTTAGATCTGTAGAAGATAATTTAGAAATATCGGAGTAGCAGAGAAAGAACACGCCAACACTAAAGAGCAGGCAAATATTATAACATAAGCCTTCGGGCTATGTCATAAAAGAAAGATTATTCAGAAGCCTTGTATGCTTAAGAGCGGTGCGATTCTGGTGTTGCGCGTGGAGCAGTGGCAGGAGAGCCGCTCGCAGGCAGACGGGGCGGGCGCAGCTCCCGCAGGAAGCGCTGCCCCCTGCGGGCCCCCCTCGGTCACAGCTGTACGGACCCGCCAGTTCCCTCTGCCTGTCACACTGGGAGCACTGGGAGCACCTCCATTTAACACGCTTGTAACCTCCACTGTTCTCACGATTGTCCTTTCTCCCTCCCCTGACAACACAAATTCGGCCATGCTGTTTCAGTCACCATTTTATGGCAGGTAGCTACCATTTTTTTTATAACTTCATGGCTTCTGTATTTATGTATTGCCCTTTGGCTGCCAGGACCAGGCACTGCTTTGCCATTTTACACAGCACTATGTCAGAAAATGAAACCTCCTCTTTCTGCACACGGGGACCACTGTTTGAGACAAGGCAGTATGACTATGCAGTTTGATGCTCAATTTAACGTATTCATATACAGAGTGATGTACTTTCCCATAATGATTATGTTTGAATTAAATTTCCATAACTTGTTTAATGATTTGCAACACAGAAATACCATCATACATAGAACATTTTGTATGTAGGCATATTGGCTGTGTTATTGATAGCTTTAAGGAAAAGCAATTCTGTTCCAAATAATAGCTTTCATATCTCATAATTTTGCTAAATGTTTAGCACGTGTTATTCCAAGTATTTAATTGTAATTGTATTTAATTGTAATCCAGATATCCTGATACAGTTGTTTGTTTGTTTGTTTTTGCTAGGGCACTTTTTAAAGCAATGATCTAGAAAACAGGACACATGCAAATACCTTCTGTATGTGAGTCATTAGACCTTTTATGATGTTATGTGTTATAGAGAAATGAGTCATTTATTGTTTAAAGGAAGACACAGCTGTTACGTTTTCTAATGAGATAAAACCTCTGCGCTGTTTTCTATAAATGGCAAGTCAAATGAGCTTTCCTCTCAGCTGTTGTTTCAGCAGCTGACTGTTAAAGTAACTGTGGTGTGCATGTAATACTGGTGATTGTAGAAAATCTTTCAAAGGATATATTTTAATGAAATACTATCTATGCTAAAAAGCAGTCATTACTTCAATAAACTTTTTTATTGTTGTAAATCTTGCATTCAAGTAGTTGTATTTTGATCCTGTTTCCATTACTTTCAAAGAACATTTTAGCATATGGGTCGAGATTTCAATTTGAATTATTTTGGAAAGCAAAACTTTACCGGAAATAACATATATTTTATCTCTAAACAATAGTGTTTGGTTTAAAACCAAATGGATATTAAGAAGCAGCCCAATATTTCGAGGTCTTCATATCAGAAGGAATTGTATATGTGATATGGTTAGGTATAAAAATAATCTTAGAACAAGGCAGTTGATACAAAGTTATGGAGTTTGTTAGTATCTTTATGACTGCAGCAATGAGCTGTATTAAGCAACTCTGAAAAAGTGAATAGTAATTAAAACTGACAACTCGATTAATAATATTTCTATTTCAGAATATTTAGCAACATGTAATTGTGCAGTCTTGCTCATAGCTGTCTCTGTGAGGGTCAGATTCTGCTGTCCTTACTCACGTCAATTTATTACATTACACATAATCTTACTGATTCAATGTGGAGAATGATGGCAAAACCTGACCATAGTGACTAAGAGCAACAGTTGCTTCTTTCAGTCTTTGACAGCTGCAAGAGCAAGTCTGTTTTTCCAAACCGTCCATACCAAATTCCGACCTGTAAGAGTATGTACCTATATTTAGCTAGTGAGATTAAGTTGCAGAGGCTTCAAGCAGGGCAAAAAGCACATTGGTCTGCCTTTTTTACAAACCTTTGGGCAGACAACAGCTAAAGACAGCTAAATCTTTCTACTCCCTCCCCTTTCCCAAGTGTTTGCGAAATGGATTCCCAAAGGGAACTCACTGAAGAGCTCAGACTTTACCAATCCACCCTCCTTCAGGATGGCCTCAAGGAACTCCTTGAAGAGAAAAAGTTTGTAGATTGCTCTCTAAAAGCTGGTGACAGAAGCCTGCCTTGCCACAGATTGATTCTGTCGGCATGTAGCCCTTATTTTCGTGAGTATTTCTTATCTGAGCAAAATGAAGAGAAAAAGAAGGAGGTAGTTCTAGATAATGTTGACCCCAACATCCTGGAAATGATTGTCAAATACCTTTATTCAGCAAGTATTGATCTCAATGATTCTAATGTGCAAGATATTTTTGCTTTGGCCAGCCGCTTTCAGATCCCTTCTGTATTCACTGTGTGCGTCTCCTATCTTCAGAAGAGGCTCGCTGTTGGTAACTGTCTGGCCATCCTTCGGTTAGGTGTTCTGCTTGATTGCCCAAGACTTGCATTTTCTGCCCGTGATTTTGTTTCAGATCATTTTGTGCAGATCTGCAAAGAAGAGGACTTCATGCAGCTTGCCCCGCATGAACTTATCTCAGTTATTTCACCTGACAGTTTAAACGTAGAGAAGGAGGAGCTGGTATTTGAAGCAGTAATGAGATGGGTCCGAACAGACAAGGAGAACAGAGTAAAGAGCCTGGGGGAAATTTTTGACTGCATACGTTTTCGTCTAATGCCAGAAAAATATTTCAAAGAACAGGTTGAGAAGGATGATATAATTAAAAGCAACTCAGAACTTCAGAAAAAAGTAAAGATTATTAAGGATGCTTTTGCTGGAAAACTGCCTGACTCTAGCAAAAGCACAGAAAAGTCAACCAAAGGGGAGGTGAATGGTGATGTAGGAGATGAAGATTTACTGCCGGGCTACCTAAATGACCTTCCCAGGCATGGCATGTTCGTCAAAGACCTGATTCTTCTGGTTAATGACACAGCTGCAGTGGCCTATGATCCTCTTGAAAATGAATGCTACCTAGCAGCCCTCGCAGAACAGATTCCCAGAAATCATTCCAGTATAGTCACCAAACAAAATCAAGTCTATATTGTTGGAGGACTCTATGTGGAAGAGGAGAACAAGGATCAGCCTTTCCAGTCATACTTCTTCCAGGTACAAGCTTTATAATTGTTGGTATAATAACAGGTGCTTGTAAGAGTTACTGAAAAGTGTTCTGAGTCTCTGCAAGTGGGCTGTCTAGTCTCTTCATATGGTGATGGAGAGAAGTATCTAGAGAGAGTTATTTTTGTCTCAGAGACAGAAATGAAACTAAGGGACTTGCATCTTCTTTTCCAATATTAACCCCTGCTGAGATCTCAGAAAATATTAAAAAGATTAGTATATTCTGTCTAGGCACTGACTTTCACTAAGGCCAGATTTTTCATGGTACAGATGACTAAATTTAGGTCAATTAATATTTTTGTAAAATACTTTGTGTATTTTTGTTAACTTCGATTAAAGTTGGAGTGCTTTAGCTCATTTAGATCTGATGTCTATCTTTTTTTTGCATCTGAAATACTTTCACGACAGCAGTAATGCATGTATTTTAAGTGCAATTTCTATCACTAAAACTGCAGAAGTCCTTTTTGTCGTATCGACATTAGAAAGCCTAAGGGCCATATAAATATATAATTTAGAGGCAGAAGGTTGTTTTCTCAGCAAACTGTCAGTGTCAGTACACTAAATACCATGTTTCAACTGAGTGTAATTGTATATCTTTGTATACGGCTGATTAGTACTAACTGTAACTCCAAAACATATTTCAGGAAAATTAGCAAAAATGCAGTTTTTCATGCTTATACCATACATTAAGTCTGTTGTGTTTTTAGCTACATGCTTTGATGTATATTTAAACTCTTTTGTGGTGAATTATGCAATATGCTGCTGGCCACGTCCTCTCTTTAGGCACACTGCCCTAAAAGAGTAAAAGCAAGTCCTATTTCAATACGAAATAAAGCCCAGTAATAAGCAGTGATAGAATTTTGAAGAATTCAGATATTAAAAAATGCAAATATTGTTTATAGGAGTATGGCTCGTTCATTTCACACACAAGAAAAAACTTTGTTTCAGACACTTGTTACATTGATGAGAGGGAAATCAGTTTGTAGGGGAGGGACTAAGACTGTTTCAGTTCCTTATGTTGATATAAAATACTAATCACAGAAATGAAAAACTTGTTACAGAAATATTCTTCCAGTAGAATAACACATTGATGTAGTAATGTGTATTTAGTCCAGAACTGAGTAAGACTCAGGCTACTAGAAAGGAGCCTCTGAGAAACTAAACCTCAAGACTGATACTAAAAATAGATGAAATTTTCAAAATTTTGCTTTATATGTCAACATCCATTTTCTGAAATCATGTTCGTTTGCTTGCTGCTGCTATTCACTATAGTTACAATACTTGTCTGCAATACCCATGTGGCTGTTGTTCTCTCCAAAATATTAATGTGGTGCCAAACCAATTTTCCCATGCTGGTCTTCCTTTTGCCACTAGTGAAGCTTTGTATTTGGTAGATTGCAACTTGGGAGAAAACAAGGCTGCCACTGGCTCGAAAATGCATGACAGGCTGATGCCCTATCAGCAGTAGATAATGTCATCTTGAAGACTTACAAAGTAAGCTGTGATCTCTGAGGGGTACTTCTTCTCATTACCCCACCCAGATCCAGCTACTGGGGAAATCCATGTCCAGGAACTGCATTTCACTGTTGCAGTAAAACTTTCTGTCCAACAGGGGTGGTCTATCAAATTTGGGAGATGCATTTAGCTTGGAAACCTTGACTGTGGAACGTACTTGTGGAAGGAGAATGTCACCAAGCTAAATCCTGGATTTTATTTTGACTGAACTTTCATCTGCTTTCTACCAAATGCCTTTACACCCACACAAACTCTTATCTTACCTTCCTTTCCTGTACCATGTCCAGCAAATCTATATGCAGTAGGTCTGAGAAAACAGTTCTTTTTGAACGTTAGAGATAATTCAGATTCAATCACAAGTTCTCAGATCAAAACAAAAAATACGCAGCACAGTTATAGGAAAATTCTAGTTTATTTTGTCATCCATCCTGCTGCTACTTCTCCTTAGGTGTTTTCAGCATACTGGATTTGAATTGAGAGAGCCCTGAGAGTACTCCCGTAGAAATTACATCAATATTATTGCCACAGGAGCTGCAGTGATTTCCTATTTTGCTTAAGAGTGAAGTAGTTTTTGTGTCTTCAGAGATCTCATGAACTTTTGAGGGTATTTGTGATGAAACACACATCTGTTGCCCTAGGGATTGCAAAATAAACATCTGTGCCATTTGCCATGTGGTGTCTCCTGATCAGTAAGAACAGTGTAAGCATGCCTGGCACCTCATTGTAGCAATGAGCATAACCAGCTAAATATACAAGTGTGGAACTGCAGGAGTGGCTGCTCCCTCGGGCAGGAAGAAGAACCTCTTGCTCTTTCCAACATGACAGGGAACCAAGAGTGACCTTTGGATGAGAAAGAAGAGTTTAATAAAGAGGCAAGGAAACACTGAGGGTAAGCAGACACAAAGAGAGTTGTACAGCATTGACTCTGCTAGATGTCGGCACAATGAGGCATGGGTGGGTAGAAGACATCATTCATCAGCTGCACTGAGGGAAGGGCAGGTTGTTCAGGCAAGCAGATTTGCTGTTGAAAGACTCTGAGTGGCAATAGATAGATTCTGTAGAACAATATTTATTGTGTGGACTTTTACTCTTTGCCTTTCCTAACCCTTCCTGTTCTGATATTCTTTCAGCTGGATAGCATTGCTGGTGAGTGGGTTGCCCTTCCTCCTCTGCCATCAGCCAGGTGTCTCTTCGGGCTGGGAGAGTCAGACAACAAGATCTATGTAATAGCAGGCAAGGACCTTCGCACTGAGGAGTCGCTAGATTCAGTACTGTGCTATGACCCTGTGTATGTTTCAAATTTAATTACACCCATTGAGGGCACGCAGATGGCCCATTGTTAGTTGAAAAACCTAACAGTGATCTTCTTGTTCCAGGGCAATGAAATGGAGTGAGATCAAAAAACTGCCCATCAAAGTATATGGCCATGCAACTATCTCAAACAATGGATTGATATATTGTCTTGGTGGAAAAACTGATGACAAGTGAGTTTCTAAGTCTTTTAATGACAATTAATAACATTATCTTCTTGGTCCCTAATAGATAATATGTCCTCACACTCAGAAGTGAGGGTTTCCCTTTTCTGCATCTCTGGTTTAAGGTTGCTAACAGTCTGGCAGAGGGGAACACATGGTATGTAGGATATATTCTTTGGTGAGAAGGTAAATAACGTAAAAATTGTAACCCAACTTGCTATTTTAATAGCCATACGTATTTCCAAGGCAAATTTTACTTACACTGCTGACAAATTAGTAAAACATAGCTATGAGGATCTTCACTGAAAGTATTCTTTCCTTTCAAATAGAAGTACCTAGGTGCCCTAGAATTACGGTCTCAGTTTTTCCGATTTTCTGACCTGTGATACCTGTTACACCTTAATGGGTATGACATTAGGAAAATAAAAAGTTTTCACTCACACTGAACATGTGGTGGTAATTGTTAAGTGTTTTTATAGGAAATACTTGAGATAAAAGTTTGTCATATCAGCCAAAACACCATCCTAATCTTTCCTTTACATAACCTTTGCTGTATATTCCTCCACAAATCCCCCAGAATACAGTATGCTGGGTAAGGATGTTGTCTTTCTCCTTAAAGGTGCAGTGCCCTCAAGGGGCAGTAAAATAGCTGCCCTGTGTAATGTAAACCATATTTGATTTAGTCCTGTGGATGTGAGAATGCTTTGTAGACATTGCAAGGATTCTCAGATTAGATACAAGAAAGGATCTCCAGAAGAGGAAAAAGGTGGTATAGATAAACCCATACAGTCTACCTCAATTAGATCTACTTGGAACAAGTCAGAAGTTCATTAGAAATGATCACTGGTTTTCTTTTTGCTCCCCAGGAAATGCACTAATAGATTATTTGTCTACAATCCCAAGAAAGGAGACTGGAGAGACCTGGCTCCAATGAAAGTGCCTCGCTCGATGTTTGGAACAGCCATCCATAAGGGCAAGATTGTCATTGCAGGTGGTGTCACTGAGGAAGGCCTTACAGCATCTGTTGAAGCTTTTGATCTGACCACCAATAAGTGAGTGCAATATTCAAGCTATTTTAATCAAGTTTTATCATCTAGGCTTTTAGGAGCTCTAAGGTAAAAGTCACAAAGCTGTTCAGGTACCTGTACTCCCACTGAGACATTTGGTCTCCACTCACATCTTCAGCAACAACAGCAGCATTTTACAGAATGGGTCTCTAGATGTTTTTCCTGCACCCACACACACTCAAATTATTATGCTAATGCCACTTGAAATAAATAGACATTTTGGAAACTATAGGGAAATACGAGAGTAACAATACGTATGCATAAGCATATTACTGAATAATCAGAGAATCTGTAAAAAGTTGTTTCTCAGAAGAGATGTCTTAACAGTGTAATTGTTTCACTCAAGAGTTGCAGAAGTCCCTGAGAGGATGGAGACACTGGAATTTACTGCTGATAAATCTCAGAGTTTTTTCCTTTTACTAAACCATGGTCTTGGTACCTGAATTTCTTGTCCAGAGAATATTTTAGTACATTCAGTTTACAGTATTTCTTACATGTTTAACTTGACTTTTTCTTTCCATCTTTAGATGGGAGGTAATGCCTGAATTTCCCCAAGAGAGAAGTTCCATTAGTTTAGTCACTTTAAGTGGAGCTTTGTATGCTATTGGAGGCTTTGCAATGATTCAACTTGAATCTAAAGAATTTGCACCTAGTGAAGTCACTGACATATGGAAGTAAGTTTCATTTTAGTCACTCTTTCCTGGTTGAAAGTCTTACCTAAAATCGAGGTTTGTTGACACTGTGGGCTAACGCTGTTTTTCTCCTTAACTCTGAAAATGATCCATAGCACAGGTTGTAAAGCATTTGTCGACAGATACAAAAAAGTTTGTCAGAAAGTAGCAAATAAATATGAGACTTGGATCTAATGACTACTTCCACCTACTAATTATTTGACCAGTCCAAGTCATGATCTTCAGCTTCATTTGAAGAGTAAATTGCCATCTCTTGCCAGGTTTAGCTTTGCCAATAAAAACATTCTTTTGTGACACTGTGATGCAGAAAAGCATGTATACAGAGGCCTGTACCTACTGATGTGTTGATAGTCAAATGAGTATAACTGTTCCAAGAGAATCAGAAGTCCCTATCCTAGATTTTTTTGAGCTAATCACAGCAGCAGTTATGAGACATCATATCTCTGCTGTGACTCTTAGTTGCTAATGTAAATTCAGTTGTTTTAGTTGGCAGTAGGAAGGAAAACCCCCCAACTTTATATGCCAGAGTCTGAAGAAATTCAGAACGGATGCTTAAGGAGGAAGCTTTTTTAAAGCATGACAAAGGTCAGCAACAAACTTTAGGGATCAAGAAAAGAATAACTTGTGTGCAAGAACATCTTTCTGTTCTGGAGTAGAGGACAAAAGCAGCCTTTCATAGCACCCTTTAGTATGTGGTTGCTACAAGCCTTTCCATCAGGTGGACTGTCCTCCTTTTCCTGTATGTTTGCTCAAGCATCAAACTCAAATGTAAAGAAGCTATTTTCTCACTTTTTTTTTCAATGCAGGTATGATGATGAGAAGAAGGAATGGGTTGGCATACTGAAAGAGATCCGATACGCTACTGGAGCCTCCTGCCTGGCCACACGCTTAAACCTCTTCAAGTTATCAAAACTGTAAACAAAATGCTGGAAGATAAGGTGATAGGATGAGGGAGTTTTGATAGGCTCTTCTGGTTTTGTTGCATGAAAATGTCGCCAAATTGTACAGTTTTGTAGAAGCATACTAGTCATACTGGCAACTGTTAAATAGTTCATTTGTCTGTCCACTTCTTAAGATACTTCCTAGCTAACCAGCAACCACTGAATTTTTGCCAGTGTTTAAATTTCTAAAGGGTTATAATTAATGTTGATTAGATTAAGATTTTGGCAAGAACTCAATTTTCCACTCTGTGAAATTACAAACACGAGTTAGACTTCCTTGCATTCAATGCAATCCAGGTATTGGTGACTTGTCCTCCAAACAATGCACATGAATTAATTAAGTTAAATACAACTAATAGCTAGCTGATTTTATTCTAACTGGCTGTTTGTGTGGCCAGATTTCCCTTTTTAGTAACGTATGTAAATCCTGCACTCTTCAGTGATACCTTGGAGATATTCTCCTTACAGACCTCAAAAAAATAATTTGGCTTGGAATTGAAATAAATGTTTTAAATAAAAGTGGCTTAATACTATGTTGCCTAATAAATGCCAGTCTCAGCCAAAGCTATACTAGTAGACAAGAGGAGAGGGTAGAGAGAGAAGTTCACAAGGTTAGTAGCTCTGCTGTTTCACCTACTATGTTTAGACTTGATAACAAGGATTTTCCACTTTTTTTATGCTTTTATATTTATTTCCAAAGCAAATATTTTATGGAAGTTTTTCTCAAGAGACGTAGGCCAATAACAAGCATTCATGAAAAAGTCCTAGAAGAACTATCTTTAGCAAATACCTTTGACAGATAGGACTTTTTCATTTATTATAGAGTTGATGCATTTTGACGTTGAAACTTTTAACAATTAAACTTTGTTTTTAAAACAATAAAAGTATCACTTGATGGTGTCTTTTTTTAGTGATTAGCTCATCATCACTATCATATTGACAGGACACAGATCTCTTAGTACAGGCTTTGCCCAAAATAGAGCACTCAGTTTTCTTCAGTGCATGCATACCATTTTTTAATAGAGTATGTCTTCAAAGGATTTCTCCATTGCATAAAGAGGGTATCATCAATCTAAAGGATTTCATTAATTTCAATGTAATTACAACTGATGTAGCAGGAAAACTGGAAAAGAAGGCCACCACACATGATTGAATGGCAATGCCAACTGTCAAATGACCCTTGCATTCCCTTCCTATGTAACAGAAATACACATATGCAGAGGCACAGCCATCATAGTTCATTTCAGTGTGTTACTGCCCACTAGTACTTAATCTGTGGGGCATTTTCCCTTTAGTACCCAAATCTGCAGCTGTGCTTAGCACCTTTTTATTGGCTCCAGTTAAATCACTGGTTTACACCACTGATGTGTTCTAACACTTGATCATTTAATATAGAAAGAAAGAGTGCAAAGAATCAAGGACAACACGTTTTACTGAACTGCTTTTTTTTTTTTTTCTTTTCTTCAATGCCCTTTCTGGACCACTCATAACAAGTTTCAATCCTCTTCCCATTGTGCATACTCATAACTTTATCCATACATAATTTGAAGAAAACTGGCTTGGTACAGTGACTGCCAGAACCCTGAAAAGCAGGGTTCAGCTCAAATATCATCATCCTGATAACTTCAGCTACTGCCACCTTTCTTACACACTGAGGCTGCTACTTGAAGACCGTCTGTACAGAAGCAGAGTCATGTGAGACCTCTTTGACATGCAGTCCACCTTCTGAAATACTAACCTATGATTGTCTTCTCCATTTTATACAAAATACAATGCATATAGAATCTTTCTGTGTGCTGTGCCTTCAATGACATTTCCTTAAAGCAGTCTTGGAGCTCTTGTCCATTTGATAACCCAAAGTGACTACCATCTACTAGTTTTGTCAGTCATCCCACAAACATGAGGACTGCCTCAGGAGGAAAGTACCTTACAGCTTGGATCAGTTCTGATGGTTTTTCCTGACTTTCCATTCCCGTCCTGATTTGTCTTCAGTTAATAAAAATTTTTTCTTCTGCTACTGAATACTTAAAAAAAAAAGGTGACAGCCAGATGCATAATGGCCAATTCAGATATGCAGTTGCTTATCTCTGCCAGGTTTCAAGTGAAGTGATAAAAGAATGCATCCTGCTTCTATTAAATAAGCAAGAAAACATGTCCTCATTGCACATGTGAGAAAACAGGCACAGCTGGCAGTCACCCTAAGGTGACGGCAGCTGTAGGCACAACGTGGCTGCCTCTAGAAATGGGATGATTTGCCAAGCATGATTCCCCTGCAGTCACTGCTCTACAATGAACGTTCTCCTGAACATTCTACATCTCAGTGTCTTATGCCTCCTGCACAAACTCTGGCAGGGTTTTCAAGTATGTCAAGGTGTTCCTGAAGGCTCAGCCATTCTTCTGCACACACTAGATCACAGGGTAGGAGAAACAGCTGGAGGCTCCTCACCACGCAATACCCTCCCCCAGCACCTCTGTTCTGAGAATGGAAACTGAATAGCTCTAAAAGCAGCCCTATTCTCAGCAAATCTGCATTTCAGTTTCTTGGTTTCTAGAGTACAGAGATACTGTTTGATTCCCGACTGCTCATTCTGTCACATGCTGGAGGACAGACATAGTTTCCAGTAGATTGCTGACTCCACTCTCCTAGTCAATAGTATTTCCAACTTTTTCTGTGGAGAGTTTTATGTCTGGCTAAGCCTCCGTGCTATTTATTTAGGAGACAATAATGTAACTTGATTGCAAAACTGCCAGATTCATGTGCTCATAATAGATTCCAGATAATGAGAAATTTTAAGCATCCTTATCACATCTTCACAGCCCTGCCTTTTGCAATCCCTAATGAATTGAGGATTAAATCTCTTTAGATCTGATGACTTTGGCAAGCCTTGGTCCAGCTGATATAGATAAAGAGATTTTTGAAACTTAACTATTCCAGGATTACGAGACGTTTGATGGTACATAAACTGTTTCTATAGAAGATGTCTGCATGTCTGATATCACTGTATTCCATACAGCTGCTGTCTCAGGTATTCCAGCTGTTCACCTTTTGTTGACAGAGCCATAGAATTCCATTCAAAGTGAGGAATCTGCAGAACAGAATGGGACAAACTGACTTTTAACATTGGTATAAGCCACATACCATGTAAGAGCAAAGAAAAGGCTCTCCTGATATCTGTTCTTCACTTGATATTTACCACTTGTGCCCTTCCAAAAGCCTGGCTTATTCTAATACTGAAAAGATTCATTTCTTATTGTAAGATTCTCCTCCAAGTTCAGTCAGTCTACTTCCAAAAAGCAGCATAGTTGCAGAGATACAAAACAGATGCCCACACAATACAGGCTGTGACAACTCCGTTACACCCTCTCCTCTTTTAAAATCCAAATTGAGGGAAAAATCCCAGGTCACTGCAGTTTGTAATTCAAATGTGTCAGACTGGAATGGTGTATCAATTGTATAACATGAGAAAGGATGATCATTCTGTTTTTAAAAAAACCCAACCAACAAAATTTAAGCTTAAAGAAGGATTCTAGTTAAAGTTAGGTTAGTAATTACATATATAGGAGCCTCTACATGTATGTAATGTAATAGGTAATTACATATATAGGAGCATTAATGAGTCTCCATTTCCCAAATGTTTCAGTGCTGGTAGTGAATTAACTCTGGCCTCTAGTGTTCCCTGTCACAGTACTATCACTGCAGCAGACAAACAGCATTCGTATCTCACTTGGCAGCTGGCAGAATTGTCTTACCACTCAAGGAGGGTATGTTCAATCTTCCACCATGGAAATCTTCAGTGAATTGAGCTGAAACTCTCATTTCACTTTTTCTCCTTTACTCAGGCTACAATGAGATTGCTTATTTGCCTGCAGTAAGGTCATACTGGGACCTTTAGACTTCAGTTTTGCTTCACCCTCTTTCAGAGGTGTGAGCTCTGTAAAGTCCTCACACCATTCTGAGAACAGCTTAGAATTTCCCCCTAAATACAAAAATTGCTCTCTCCCAGTAGGTGCTTTTAATGATAAAACTGTCTCTAAATCCGTTGTGAGGAAAATGGATCATTTTGCACTGCTGATACAACCCAGAAAGGACACGAAGTATTGCTGACTGCTTACCTGAACTACTCGGTACCCCAGCATTTCCAGGTGTCGCTTTTTCACTGCAGGTTCTCCTTTCAGATGATGTGAATAATCTTTGCTAAAAGCTTTTGAATCAAGAAACTCCAAAGCAATTCTGCAAACAGTAAAAATGTTCATTTACTTTCAGGTCTTACCTGAATAGAAAGAAGTGACAGTATTAATAGTTAGATTATCCAGCAAGACTGGATAAACCTGACAATTCTCAGAAAACGAAAATTAAACAACTCCCTGGAATTAGACAAAACATTTTCCTTCTATTTATCTAGAGATACTTGAATTCAGAAAAAGCATTTTCTCCCTGCACTTGTTTTTGTTCCAGTGGTAAAAACAGCTAACCAGCATTTTCAAGGCTTACATTTCAAGAGGTGGGAGGAAAACAGTATTCCAATCTCATGAAACACATTTCAAGAACCTGTACTTGGTTTGGCTGGGATGGAGGTAATTTTCAGCTGTGGCTAACCCACCACACACAGAACGCTAAATCTCATCAGACTCATCAGGAACAGAACATTAGGCCATGAGCATCAAAAACCTGGTCTAGACTGGATGTAAGCTTGGAAGAGCTAATGTGCAAGAATTCAGTGTACTGACCTTTGAGCTCCTGGTGGTAAAGCCTTTCTCCCTTCATCCTTGATGTCACGTCTCAAGTGTATTCCCCCCCCACCATCCAAAGGTATATTCTGAGCCATATAGGAAAGAGGCTTTTTATTTACATTCAGGACACACTCAAAATCTGCCAGAAAACAAAACAAACCTGTTTACTGACCAATCAGAAGTGAAAGAATTTGATCTGTATGATGTTTACTTCTAGTAAAACTGATAGCCATAATTAGAGATATCCAACATTATCTATACTATAAAGAACACTTTAGAAACTGTATTTTATACAGTAATTTCTTCTTTGCAGTATCTTGTGTTATCTTGGGGCCATATGACCAGGAGCTTCCTAATCTTAGTGATAACAGTGATATGAAAGGACTCCATAACAATTTTTAGAGTATTAACTTCTCACCTATTTCATAGTAGTACGGTGTGAGAACAGATATTCTTGAGTAATGCCTCCCTCCTAAGATCTCTGTCAGCATTCCGTGAATGTTCTGTCGCTCTGGATTTATTCGGCTCGTGCCTACAAAGACAAAAAAAAGAATTCACACATCAAAACTTCCACAGCCAAAATTCTGAAAATAGTGCTTTGAGACATTGTATTTTTGAAAACCAGGCTACTGAATTAAATCTTTTCCACATATCTCCAGTGCTATTCCATCATAATTCAGAGACAAAGTGATCATATTTTAGCTAGAAAGTGGCAGGTAGATGCTATTAAGTAAATTTCAAATCCAGACTTTAGATCCCAGGATATTTTCATTCATGTACTACAAAAACTTAAGTTTTAGTTTTCACCTGGTGGATTTTGTTTGCTTTTAATTATGTTTAGACATGTATTTACTCACCTTGTGTTTATTACAGCCATACCACACTATCTGCCAGTTCTCTGTCCACTGCTCCATTAAACATCTTCAGTCTTAGGGACAAAGTAGCTGAGTTCTATGGATAGCACAGATCTTCCCATGAGAATTAGTGAAGGAGATACTGTGTTTGCATTAGATGGATTTTCTGAACTGATCACTATTCTGAAAGATCTCAACTGCTACACTAGATCACTAGCCTACTTCTCTATCATATCTGATGGATCTTGGTACTTGTGAGGAAGAAGGGAGGATCAAGTTCAAAAGGAGGCAGTAAAAATGTTTACCTTGAAAAATTTAAGTCAAATGTTCAATTTTGTAAGTGAAGTGGGGAGCAAAATGACCCATCTCCTCCAGCACAGAATGATCCTCTTCCTGCCTTTCCATCCTTCATGCCTTATACACTGTTTCTGTGTACTTAAATTTTAATTCTTCTGCAGAAATATCCCATCCCTATTACATAAATTCTCACAAGGAAAACCAGTTTACTCCTGGTTGCACTTTCCAAGAATACTTGCTCAGCAGCAAGGGGTGTGCCAGTGTCAGCCTGACAGTTTTAGAAGAGAAACATTTAGTATATTGTTAAAAATAGACTATTATGAGTAACAAGGGCAGTTTTTCCTGTCCTAAATTACTTACTGTTATGAAACATACGTTGGCAGTATGGCTCATGAAACCAAGGGATGTGAAACTCTGGGCATTCCAGACAGACTGCTCTGTTCAATTTCATGAGGCTTGACTGGACCCTGTGCTTCACCATATCAGGCAGGACTGATTTAAAAAAAAAAACAAAAAACAAAAAAAGAAATGTGTGAACTAAAATGTGAAAAATCCAACAAATTTAACTAAATGGCAATTTCTAAATTTTTTACTAAAAATGCAAATATCTGTATACTATGGCATTGATAAAACTCATGCTGCAGAATTTTAGAAAGGTTCTCAAAATCCCTGAGAAAATAAATGAAAAAGCCACAGTTCTGCTCAACATTAAGAACAACAAGAACACAAGAACAACAGCAAGACAGAAGATAAAAATTGCTTCCATTGTGTAAATTTAATTAAGAAGTTGAGGGTAAATGACAAGAGTACATTGATAATGAACAATGTAGAGGTAGAGAGGAATTAAATAGTGAAACACTCAGTCCCTTATTTAGAGAGAAGAGACAGGGAGGATACATTTCTTTCAGACGAGAATCCCACATTATTCCTTCAGCTTTGTGACTACTTCTAGTAATAGATACCACAGTCAGCTAATTTTATTTCCAATAAAATTGAAGAATTATTAAATACTGAGTACAATAAGTTGACAATAAAATTCATTTTATATTACTTTCTCTCATCTGCAATACAGGTCTTTACCTTTAAAACAACAGATTTTTGTTCATTCCTTCCCTTTTAGCACTCAAATTATGACTATATTAGATAGAGGGTGTCTTTCCCAAAAACATAATTATTTAAAGAGTAATTCTACATCTCGAGTCCTATGTTAGTCCAAATTGTATTTTATGCCAAATGCTACACAATCAAATTCATTAGAAGCTAGATCACTACCTTTAAGTTGAGCATCCAATTTGCTTAGGAAAGAAACATTAAATATTGTCGTTATCAGAGCTGGAGGAAAATACCCAGCCACTGCCAGAACATGACCAAGCAGCACCAAGTGATAAGCTTCAAGATGACCTTGAAAAAGCAGAGAGAAACCCATATTAACACATGACAAAGTTGAAAGGCTTTGCAATGCCCTTTCCCTGGCCTCTCAAATCATCTGATTTTCTCTCTTAATGTACAACACAAATCCATACACACTTCCTCTACAATTTTAACTATTTATTTGTGATGAATTGCAAAATGTATCCTGTTCCCAAATGATGAATCCTTGGGGAACACAGCAGTTCTATCCAAAACCAGCACATTGAATTAATTAGAATTTCCACTTACATTTTACTGTGCCAAAAATCCTTTGCTAGTCCTTTATCAACAGTCATTTTTAACAGGTGAAATGAAATCCAAAATTGAATATTTGTCATTGCTTAACCCCATTAAACAGAGTATTAGCAGTAACATACTTACCCTTTCTTTGCTTAACAAAAGTACCATTCTATTCCCATTTTCATTCAGTAAAAATCTTTGTCTATTGCACTTACTCAAATTAGAAGTCAGATGTTGGATACAACTCTTAAAGAATTCTTCGTTGTCAGGAGGATCATAATTCAAAGTTGAGAAAAGGAAGAGAATAAAATAGATTTCAGAGAGGGGAATCTGAAAAAAAAGACATCCTAAATCAAGTCACTGCAAAATATCCTAATATTGCTTGATAATAAAGAAAAGCTTTATAATTAATTCAGAATTTGGAGATTTAGGACTAGATTAACTATTTTCTAATTTTTTTCTTTGGTCAACTTTTCCTGGAGAAAATAATAAAAAAATAAAATGCAGTAATAGTTGAAATTGCAGCCACAACTAAAACTTAAAATTTATTTCACGCAGGTGGTCCAAATGTTTGCATACACTTAAAGAACCTTTTAAGAAGGTTTTGCAATAAATGTTCTTAAAGAAACTGAACCGCAACAGGGTAAAATCGAAGACTTATATGAACACCAGATTGAGAATGAGAAAAAAGATAGTAAGAAAAAAGAGTAATTTTGACTAAATAGACAGGATATTGGGGAAATCCCCATAACAATGAGTACTGTTAAAATATCCACCATGTGATGTGACATTTATAAAGAAGTTTAAAAAATAGTAAGATAGTCAAATGTAAAGTTGAATGTAAAGGATTATGGCTGACCTAACACTGAGTGAACAAGAAAAAGGAAACTAAAATTAGTAAGTGCAAGTTTATATACATAGAAGTAAAACAGCTTTAAGTGAGCACAAAAAAAGATGATCTCCAACTACATTGAAGGAAACTCTTAAAAACATGCGTGGATTGTGCTGTGAAACACATCAACTACTAACCCGTCCTTTCTTACTGAATAACTCACAGTAGATAGAAAGAAAAACTGTGATACCTTGTCTATATTCTCAACAGTCACAGAAGATATTCTGTCAAATAATGCAGGACAACGGTGGTCTGATTTTATGAGGAAAAAAGACAAGGGTAAAATATTTGCCCATGTTATTTGATCTATCAAGCGCTGACACATGGCCAGAGTTTCCTCATTCAGGACTTCCTCTAACCACTCTCCATTCACATGTGGAAGTTCTTCCAACAGAAGATTTAAGTTGTTGGCTTTCTGAAGCCTCTGAAATCCACAGTCATTTAGTTTTTGCAGAAGCTTGGCACATAGCTCAGAACTGTTTTGCCAGTGCAACTGGCCATGATGATTCCACTTGACAAGAGCTGTAGCAATGCAATTCAAATGATGGAGTCTGCATTGAGGCAAAACTGCTGCTGCTTTGTTTATAATCATTTCCTCCACTTGAAAAGAAGGAAGCATGGCCAGAACACGAATTATGGCTGCAGTATCAGCAGGTATCACACTGGATTTTAAATAACTGGAAGAGAGATAGAAATAAAAAAATCCATCAGTAGTGACAAAGCGCAAACGTTTAAACAAAACCATTACATTCCCATAGAGGCTCAGCAGTGAAAGCAAGATCTCTTCTCTGGCAACTTCCTGGTGTTCTGTACAAGCCTAAGAACTAACTGGACAGCTCTTCAATCAAAAGAGTACTTCTGTGTCACACTTTCACTATCCCAAACAGGACATTCTGTCTTTTTTTCATTACTACTTCTGTCAAGCATCAAATACAATATTAATACCTATCGATCCTATCAAAAACCAATCAAAATTTATTGACATTTCAACATTGTATTACAGAGGTCAAAAGAAAAAGGGAAAAAATTTAAAAGGTATTACATATTAGCAGATACTGTTGGGTCTATAGTCAAGACAATATCTACTTTTCATCCTCTGATTTATATGTTTAATAGAATCAAATACTTGTAACAGTTTGTTACTTCTTCATATTTTATGGGAACAAAACACATCTTAAAATTGCTGTTTAAAATCTTAAGTAGAGAACTGTTTAAAACTCAAATAGCTGCATTTCCAGGAATATACACTTACCCTAATAGTAACATTTTTAGTTTGGAAAACAGCTCCAGATCCTGGCAATGCAACGCCACCAAGTACTGTGTTAACTTTACCAACTGTAATGCGTGATAGCTCTCCAAGTGTTTGTGCAGAACAGAAGCCATTCTGAATACAAAGAGGAAAAGATTACATGGTATTAAGCTAACACAAAAGATACTTCAAACTCTAACATGCTGCATGACAAAGGGGTGTCCTGTGGTGCACACTACCTATGTGGAGGGTTTCACACACCTGCACTCCTCTCCAAACTGATTCTGACACTACTGCACTTAGAGCAGCCTCTCTCCACTTACTGAATTGCAAAATTGAAGTCCTTATCACAACAAATCAGCTACTTCACACCACAGATTTCTGTTGCAGATTTCACAATCAGTTAAATTTAGAGTGGACCAAGAACATAATAAACTGGAACAGCATCATCAGTTTCAGCACCACTTACGTAACAGTGGTTGCTACAGCTGTGTTGGTCTAAAGCTGCAGAGGGGGATAGATTGGTAGGGAAAGATAATACCTCAAGACCTTCTTTAGACAGTCAAGTTTTAGAGACTCAAAAACAAAAGGCATTAATTCACCTGATCTTCCTTTTAGTATTTCTTTGCTCCAAAGGACACAAGTATCTCCTTTTCCTTTCAAGGATCTATTTGATTCATACAACTACCTTCAATCCAATAACTGTTCACAACCTGCACTTAAACTCTGCTGTATCTAATGCTACATCTTCTTCAGCTACATCAACTTCTTTTCCATTCACTGTAGGGCAGACACTACCTCTCCCTATAAAGAGTTTTCAATTCAAAACTAGAGAGAACGTGGCCCAGGTTCTTAAAACCACAAGTTTTAATAGCCCAAAATAGTACACAATGACTTTTGAACAAAAAATTCACAAAAGTAACAGTATTTCCAAGACAGGACATGTTCTCTGCAACTTACTACATTTCACTGGCACTCTCATGAGTTTACAGTAATTGTTAGGGGCTAAGTTTATTGCAATAGGACCACATATTTGTAAATTAGACAGGTACTATACAACAGTAACTTGGTAAGAGTGAAATGCCTTTCTTTGAAATTCCTAAATTAACTCAATTACTTCTGGGTCAAGCTGCAATATTCTAAAATCTGTAATAGCCAATAACTTACAGTGTATAAGCACTTGTGTGCAAGTGATACACCCACTGCTTCTAACTTACTGGTATGTCATAGTTTTCCACACAAAATAGAAGTTTACCTAGAGAATACAACTTCTTATTGATATAAAAAAAATTACTTTTTGAGTGGATGAGAACTTCTGCATTTCATTTTCTGCATAGTCTTCAGTATCATCAATACTTGGTGACTGCTAAATTCCTCTGCCATGTGTCCTGCAGTTACTAGCAACCTAAAGAAGAGAAGACCTATTTTTAATGAAAAACAGTTGAAAATCTCTGGCAGAGATTGCAGCCATTTTCTTCACCTATGAGAAAAAGAACAAAATTTTGATTCTGAAAGCAAAATTCTCCCAAACTAGGGACTTCTGTTCTGTGGACTTTTCTTCTTAAAAGCTGGTCTGCATAGCACAGATGAAAGGGTGTGAGTGTGTTGGATCAGTGCATATTGTTCTGATGTTAGAAATCAGCAAGTCCAACAATTCTAAAAGTAGACAAGAAGTAGGGAAGGGACTCTAAGTCACAAAACAAATCATGATCAATCAGTAAGCTACAGATAACAGAATCAAATATGAACTGAACTGGTTCTGTGGTAATTAAAGCCAATGTTTATCACAAACAATATAAATTTAAAAAAAAATTAAGAAACCTCTTGGAACTAAATCAGCTATGGCAAAACCAACACAGGCTTGCAGCATGTTCAAATCTCTGAATAAAGAAAATGTTCATTAAGAGAAGTATGAAAATATGACTCATTGTAATTAAAAATTCTGCCTAGAACTGCAGGTTTTGAGAGACCCATGAATAATACCATCCCCAAATAAGATTTTGTGGCACAAGAAAGACAGGCAGAGAAAAAAAGTCTGTCACATAATACTACGCTCTAAATAAATGCTGAAGTGTTCTCTGATGACGATCTTTCATAAAGAATAGGATGTCAGCAATCTGGTACAGGACAAGACTCAGGCTTTTTCAGCTACTGGGAGTCTTAAAAAGGAAAAAGCAACACGTATCACTGCATGTATTTCTCAGGAGAAAGACAGAAAGGGTTTTTACTACCACCCAGTGTGAAAGGAAGACTGTAGTTTAAGAGACAGACTACAGGATCGCAGTGCATAACAGCGTTCACACTCCCCTTGACTGATGGGTCTAATTCAACTTCTTAATAAAACATACTCCTTTTCCATGATGAAATCATCCATTTCTACAATGTTACAACCAGGAAACATAAGGCTCAACTCATAGATGGGCTCAGACATTTGTCCAAACACTAGTACATTTTAAATTTCTGTGCAAGAATAGCTATATCATAAATAAGACAAAATTATTAATAAGCTTACCTTTCTCTAACCTTGGATCCTGCCATAGGCCCAAGAGAGGAAAACAATTTTGCAAATGTTTCAGGATCATAATAATCATCTATAGTTTCAGATAGCAGATGTTTAGCAATCAGGCGGAATTCAGCACTGTCAAAACCCAGCTGCTCATACAGTCCAAGAATATGACTAATGCTGTGTATATCAAGATGGGAGGCATTTTCAAGGAAAATCCTGTTGCATTTTTCTATCAATGGATGATACCTCAGTTTAACATTTTGGAGAAACTGTAGTACTCTTCTGGCATAGTTGAAGTGGACTTCATCCGTTTCTTCTAAGAGCTGTTCAGCCTTGTGTAGTAATCGATCTCGAAAACTCTCAGTGATAACTTCAGATATGCTGACCATCAAAACTGACAAGATCCTAAAAAATTCAATAGGTTTCACATTTACACGTTGAACATAATAAGCAGTACATTTCAGATTTATTAAATGAAGTGCACAAAGAAAGGAATGGTAGCTGAGGTGTTGTTGGCTTCTGTGCAAAAAAAAAGAATTTTAAATCTAATTCAGAAAAAAATGGACGAGCAAAAACCATTTATCCTACTAAAGCAAAAATTCTGCTTTCAGTGAACTTCTGAAATTATTCAAATTTTTCAGCCATCCCTTGCAAAGTTATATATGATAAAAGCATTTCCCTAAGGGAAGACCCTGATTTGCCTGATTCATATCTGCAAAAATATCTTTTATGTCCAATAGACACTAAAGAAGTACAAACAATTTGCAAGTGACAGAATGGAGAGAAGAGTCCTTGTCACTCCTAAAGAAAGAATTCCTTCCTAAGGGAATCAAACTTACAACCACAGAGAAAGTGAATTCAGTAAAGAAATGCAGTCCTATTCAAGGAGTTGCATAAGCAGGCTCTTCTTAAAAAATCAGTGTTGGGACTGCTGGTGCATTATAAAGCAGAAAAAAGAAAGAGAAGCCTTTGCTGTAACAGCCCCAGGGGAACAGAAACAAGAAAAAAAAATCAGCTTGGTCTTCTTTGACCAGGGCTGTTTTAAGTAGTTTAAATATGAAAGTAATGTGCTAGACGTGCTAGCAAGAGAATTTATTAATTCAACTTGACCAGAAAAACAATGCTCTGAAGAAAATAAACACAATATTGCTTTAAAACCCTTTATTGCTGTTAACAAAGCCATGTCATAGTACAGAATCTATCAATGTTAAGGGAGAAAAAGAGAGAAAAAAGGGAGAAAAGCATCTTCTGGTGAGTCAATAGCTTCTAAATTATCAAAAAAAGTCCATGTTTAGAATCAAGATAAAGCTGATTCTAAGTATCTGCTGTACTGTAAGTAGAACAGTGGAAATTAATTAAATCTTTATAACCTGAACAATCAAGCAGTAGTTTTAATAATTTAGATTGGTTATAAGGAAATTCTTCATAATGTCATTGGAAAATGCATTCACTTGTCAATGAATGCAAAAATACAAAACAGTTCTTTCCCACAAACCCCCAACTGAAGCAAAGCAACCTCCAGTTGAGAAAAAGGGGAAGTCTTCAGAAAAGACAGACCAGTAATTGCAACATTTTACTTCTGCTTCTTAGCCTACCTTATATCCTGATAATTCTGACACTTACCTTATATCCTGTATAGAATCCAGTTTCATGTCCACAATATGAGCTACTTGGCCAATTAAGGGACTGAAGTGCCTGTGTTGCTTGTATAAGCACAGAGCAAATTTAGACAGAGCTGGCAAACTAAGCCTGTCAAGACATTAAAGACAGTCAGACAGGATATCTGTCTTTTATGTCTAGTCACTAACTAAAGACAAAAATCTATTTTAACAATTCTATTAAAATATATATATTATATAAAGGTTAAAGCCAAATTACAAAACAAGGAAACAAAGTATCTAAGCAAAAAACCTTGGTACTTAATATTAAAGCATGTTGTATATATGGAGTTGTACAAGAATTAGTTGTCCTTCACTTAATCAACCTAAGAAATCTATAACGATTATATTCTCAAGCAATCATGTCAAATGAATAAAATGAATGTGAGCAATTTATTACTTGAATATAATTTTGTTTTCAAGGTACACAGTATCTATTTACTTGTCAAGATGCTCCACATATTAAGAAGAGGCAATTCTGTGATGCTGGTGCCAACTACAATAGTCTCCCTCCAAAAAAATCAAAAGAAGACAACAAAACACAAAAAAAAATGCACAAAGGGAAAATGTTGCTGTTTAAATACAAAATGTTTTTACTGGAATTGAGATAAGCATGGTTCTAATAACCACTTAAGACCTGGACAGAAAGCACTGAGATAAAATTGTAAATATGAAAACCTGCAATCACTTCAAACACATAAATCTACACAGAAAATATATTTCAAAATCTCAAATGTAGGACCCTGTTGTTGCAGTATCTTAATCTCTCAAGCATTTGTGTACCAAAGTCTATATGTATAATTTTCAAGACTTTTCAAAAATACAACTGACATTTAAAATACTCGTGTTATGTTTTAAAGATAAATACTCCTTGAGAACTCTTGTGTAACGTCACATGAAGCAAATCATGCTTGCAACTCCTATCTTTCACAAAGCACAGCAGGACAATACTTGCCTTTCTAATCTTTTCCATGCTTCTGTAACAAGCACTTTTGCTAGAGAAGAATGATCTTCAGCATCGAGCCTTCAAAATAAAGACAATGCTTCAATAGTCAGAAAGAAATAAGACATACGTTCTTTCATTATTTATCATAATGTTTTACTTTTCTAGCATTCCCTCCATTCAAACAGATTATAAACATTTGTGCATGAATAATCAGAATTCATAATAATCATAAAACATATTTACTGGGACTGCAAAACAGATCCATTCTGCCTGTATCTCCAAAACTGAGGCACAGGACATTATGCTGTGTCACACAGTCAAGAGTACAGAAGCTGTGGCAGGGCAGTCTCATCACAGTCTCCTCATGAGATAGCTCTCTAGTCAGAATTCCTTCTCTTTTTATTACCAAATACAAAATGTATTTAACGCTCTTTACCTCAGGATGCTATATAAGGTGTCCACTATCACCTCATCTTCCATGTGTTCTGCCTTGTTTTCTGCCAAAATGCAAAGGGTAAGAAACTGGGAGTGATTTCTTACGTAGTCACTAGTCCTTAAGAGAATGGGCTTCTTCTTTTGCAATTGCCACAGCATGTTCAATGCAATTCCCACATGCTTTTCAGAAAGTCTGGCCTTGTTCCTCCGAACAAGGCTGAACACTTCATCCTCATGGGTGCAGCCATTTATCTGGCTCAAAAGCAGGTCACTACACAGAGTCCGAGCTTGGAAACGTCTCAGTGTAAACAAGCAGAGCTGCCTCAAACCAGGCATTTTGCTATGCCACCAGCTAGCTTTAAAGTGTCCAGAAAGATTCTTCTTTCACTTTTCACAGTAAACCATGCTGTTACAAACAAGAAACTCAAACATTTGAAAAACAGAAGACCATTTTTCTTTCATCCTGTCTGGTCACTGTATTAAGAAGTAGTAAATTCTGAGATACCTGTAACGAGAAAGTATCAAAGCACTTAATTTCAGTCACAACAAGTATTAAAATGAAGTCATTTTAATTTATGAACTCCTATAATAAGAATTTTTTTCTTTCCTATGCAAAATGAAAGAATACAAAAAAAGGTACTAATTTTTCACATACTGTGTATTAAGAACTTTTTCTAAAAATTATTTACTTTATAGTCCCTTTTCAGATATTGCTTTTATACATAGTAGTTGCCTTTAGAAAGAATTTGCTTCCTACAGTAGCGGCAAGCTAAGCTGCAAGAAGTCAGGATAAAATAGATATCTGAAGAAAATATAAAAACCTTCAGGCTCAGTTTCCTGTAAATCCACATGACACATCCCTTCCCCTTCTCATGCTGCAAAGGAACCTTGCATCCCCTAGTCTACTGATGGGGAAGCAGGATCTCTATCTAAAACAGCTTTTGGGAAGCTTCCAAATATTTCCTTATTCCAATGAGCAGATGAAAGTAATTTACCACAACCTTTCATAAATTTTAAATCATAGTAAATTCCAGTATCTTTCAAAAAGTTCAACGGTACAAAACATTGGATGTTTTCAAACATCCAATTACATTGAGTAAAACCAGGAAATTTGGATCTACCTAAAGAACTATTTCTAAGATGTTCAACACACAGTAGAAGGACAAGAAGGTCTTTAAAATTATTTTCTATCGGTTGAAACACAATAAGCACTTTCAAGGCTGTATTACAAAACACAGTGACCCAGGAAGTCTCCCAAAAAGGAGAAAATGTGGACACCCGCCACTCCCCAAGTATACGAACTACTAGAGATTTAAGTAACTAAGCCTTAAAAGAGCTGCTTGCGCAGTACGGACACGGAGCGGCCCCAGTTCCCGCGAGCACAGCCGCGGGCAACACAACACCGCAGTGCCCGGCTAGCAGCGCTCGCACTGCGCGCCGCCGGCTCCGTCACCGCGGGGAATGCTGAGCCAGGCAGAGCCGGGAAGGGGCGCGACCCGCGCAGCCAGGCTCGGCTCCCGCCTCCGGGGGCCGCGGGCACCGCTGAGGGGCGCTCCCGGCGCGCCTGCGGCACCGGGGGAACGGAGGTACCGGGGGGCCAGAGGCACCGGGAAGGCGGGCATGGCCCAGCTGCCGGCCGGCGCGGGGCGGCAGCGGCTGCCAACTCTGGTGTGAGCGAGGGTTCGTCACACGGCAAACTCCACCACCCGGCGGGGTTAAACGAGAAAGCGAAGGAGGCACCGTCAGCTCCGCAGCAGCCGGTCCGAGGAGAAGCTCCCAGTTTACCTTTGCTCAGGACCCTTGCCGCTGTCGAGCCCCAGGCGGAGCCTGCTCCCTCACTCCAGACGCGCCCGGCTGCAGCCCCGGCACTCCACGTGCCCCGCACTGCCATTCACCGTGCGCATGCCCCCAGGCACTGCACTGCCCGGGAGCTGTCGGGAAGCGTACGGAGAAAAAGTGCAGCCTGTTAAGGCTTTCCAAAGGAAATGATAATTAAAAAGGTCCAAGGTTCATACTGACTATTGCATAGTAAATAAAGCAACGTTTTCATAATTCATTCTAAGTGGGGGGAAAAGTTTTCCCTGCCTAGGAAAAGCACAAAGGGCCTGAAGTTCGGAAGGGTAAAGTTGAGGAGGTAGGCTTTGCTGTACTGGAATTAACGTTATTTTATTTTACAATGTTTTAAATTTTTTATGCTTTGCAAGAACAATATATTTAAAATAAAAGAGTTTTGGGAGACAAATCTAGCATATCTTGCAACAAGTATGTTGCATATGTTGAATATGCATAGCTCCAGGTTGTCTTTCTGGACCTTTTCTCGTCCCCATTGATAGCAGCAGACATACAGAAAGAATGATAACAATCTCAGACTGCTCTACATTCTATCCAAAAAAGCAGAACTAGGACTATTACCATGACCAATTCTGACCAGCTGTATTGCCACTGTCTATCAAATGTCTAGGGTTTTTACTTTTTGTCTGTCACCTCCTACTATACTCGATGCCTATGAATATGGAACTCACTCAAACTAATAGAATAGATCCTAATTTATTTATTACAGATCTGTGATGTTTTAGAAAAGGAGCATGTATTTTTTTAACTGGATTAGTTACAATTTTTGTAACTGTGGAATTTTTAACTAGGACAGGTTCCTAGCCTCCTGCTAGAAAATTCCAGATTACCCCAGTTACACTTTACACAGGCATGCAAATAACAGAGCGACACCCAAACCCTGTCAGGTGAGCTCCAAGGGTGGCACATGAGGTACTTCTTTAGAGAATGTCAGGTCTTGTGTAAACTCACATAAGAATTCCAAGGCATCTGAGAGGAAAACTATAGGAGAAAACAATTCCATGTTCATATGAAGGAGACTTCCATAAATCATACAGATTTTTCATTTACAAGATGCTGAACTTTCCACTTTTGACTTGTGAAGTACATTTGGATAAAATAAAACAAATGCCCAAACCAAATTAAAAATGCTGGATAAAATTATATTAAATTTTAAACTGGAAACATAGGGGAGGAAAGCAAGACTTAACAGAGCATGCTGTGCTGAAGCCAGTGTTGATTTACTGAGCAGATGTTCACTCACCAGCTTCTTCAGGATTTCAGAACTCACAGGTGTCAGTTTCAGAAAACTGTAAGAAGATCATTGGATTTTCTACTTCTAACAAACTTCTCATCAGCCAGTCACGTAACTTCCTACTTCCCATTATGTATGTGATTACTGACCCAAATGCCTACTGGTTTGAATTAAATCCCAACAAAAAAAAAAGGACGTATATACTTCAGTGCCAGTCTTAGTTAATTTTGAAGATGCTCACACATTTAGGCACTATGATAAACTTTCATTCCTTAGTTTTAAGATAAATTAGTTTGAATTGCAGTACATACATATGGGGTACTATTATCAGTTACTCTTTTTTTTTGCACAAGTGGCCTAAATTCCCGTTTTAATTCTTTAGAAGCCCTAGCGAGGTGTCCTGCTGGAGGAACCAGAGCGCTTTTAGCACCGTGCAGGACGGTTCATTTACCAACCCTTGGTCATTTCGCGGGCTCACCGCTGAGGCGCCCGCCGCCGTCGCGCCAGCAGGGACGACCAGCATAATTCTCGAGCACGTTTGGCTGGAAAGGCCCGGTGTACCTGCCGCACTCCAGCCTCTCCGGCTCCTTCCCGCGCCCGCCCGGGCCTGTGGCGGCGGGGCCGGCGGGCGCGGGGCAGCGGGAGGGGCGGAGCGCCGCTGACGAGCCCGAGGAGGCGGGCGCCCTTCCCCCAGCCGCTCGGGCTCCTCGCGAGTGGCCCGCGCCGCCCGGCTGGGCTGTGTCGCCGCCGCGACCCCTCGCACCCTGCCTGGGCCGGGACATCGCTGCTACCGCCGCCGCACTCCCCCGCCCGCCCTCGGCGCGCCGCCCCCGGGCCGCCGCTCCCGCCCTGTCCGCCACTGACGCAGTCCGTGCCGCACCAGCTCCAACATGGCGGCAGCGCGGTGCTGAGCAGCGCGGGGCTACAAGGGCCGCCAGCGGGTGAGTGCCGGCCTCGCCGCCAGGCAGAGCTGGGCGCCGGCGCGGCCGAGTGAGGGCCATCGCCCGGGCTTCGCCGGGGACTGGGCGGACAGCGGACGGTGGAGGAGGAGGTTGCAGCACCGCGGGGCCTTAAGCTCGGTCACGGCGCGGGTAGGAGCTCCGGCCCCTCCCGGCCGGCCCGGCCGCCGCTTCGGAGTGGGCCTGGGGCGGCCGCCCGCGCTGCCTCCCCGCACAAGCTTCTCGCAAGGCCCGGCCGCACATGTGCGGGGGGCAGGCGGACCGCGGCGCTCGGCGCATCCCGCTTGAGGGCGGCCCTTGAGAGGGAAGGGGTGTGAGGAGCTGCGAGCGCGGCCCGCGGCAGGCGGGAGCGGCAGGGGTGGGTGAAGCGGCGCACGGGGCCTGGCGCACATCGCGCCGGGGGTCGGCTCTGCCAGGCCGGCTGTGCCTCTCCGCAGCCTGGCTAATGGCGGGTCTGTGCCCGCAGCGAGCGCCCTGTTCGGGCTGGGGTGCTTCTGGGGAGTTTGAATGAGTCTTCCCTCCTCCCCTAGATGAGGGAGGAACGGGGCTGTCTGCGTGCCACATGTTCTCCCCGCTGCAGGCCTCTCCTAGGGAAGTGGAGCCTGCAGGAGCTACCGTGTCTGGCAGGAGACTCTTCTGCCTCTCACTTTTAGGGATTTCCTAAGGCGTTCCAAAGACTTTCATGAGTATTGAGTGTTTCAGGCTCATTTTGTTTGCAGCCATTACCAAACTAAGTACTGAATATATATGGCTGTACTTTGAGGCCCTGAAGAGACTTTGTGAGACTTAAGACTTAGTTCACTGAAACTGTGGACAGAATATCTGTTGTTGTGCTGAATGTTGCCTTTAAGTTCAGTCACAATTAGAAAATTTATCAATAATGATAAAGTCACTTTGGCCAGTAGTTTCCTAGTGTTTGGCTGGTTTGACTTTAGTAGTCATCTGAGACCTGTTTTAAGAGAAGTGCCAGACCATTATCTTGCATATAGTCTATTTTCCAAGATGTAATTTTTCTGAGAGAATACTTTGGAGGTTTCGTGTTTTTTTTCTATATTGACAACAGAAGAGGCTGTTCTTTGGACAAGGATAAATGTTACTAGGGCTTGGGGTTTTTTGGAGTTTTTTTTATTTATTTGGTTTGGGGTTTTTTTGTTGGTGTGGTTTTACATTAGTTTTTTCCCTTTAGTCTTTATCCCGCCCTTTTGTTTCACTATTCCCATTGCATTGGGGTCCAGCATGGCTCAGATTTTTAGGTGCTACCACGATAAAAATATGGTAGAAATTTGTAAGTTAGACGTGATTTATGAAGCATTGTTTGTCTAAACGCACACAGCTTGATTTATCAGTTTGTAAAAATTATTTGTAAATATTTCAGAAATAATGTCGTTTCCTGTATGTAAAGTAGATCTGAAGGGTAGCATAAAAATGATAGCAGCATCAGTTCTCTGAGAGCACCCTTTGGGACTATATTTCCCATTAGACTTCCCATTCTTTCAGTCTTCTTCTGTGAGACAAACATTATTGTTTTT